GGCCAGTCTACCTCTGAAGAGATACATGAGAAAGAAGGGAACTCGTGTATGAGTGAGGGGCTCTTTGTTACAGAAGCCTAGCTTGTATCTCAGGCAAAATACTGACTTAACCAGCTGCGAAGCACCGGAGTGCACTGCTGTGCTCTGAGTGATCGGCAAGGCTCCGGCCACAGCTGGACGGTGACCGGACACCGAGGGAGCACGGCATGTCTCTCCCAAAACAAACTAGACTAAACCAAACAAAAGTGTTCTTCAGAATCTGAGCTCTCTGTTTGGGGGGCAGAGGGTCCCTCTCCTGCTTCAGCCAGGGCAGGTCCACAGATTGGAGTTCTTCACATAATTATTTGAAAATAATGTTCTGCTATAAAATTACAAAAACCACTGATGGTTTTGAATGAGTCACAAATTATAATACAAATATCAGATGTGGTAAAATATATTATTCTATTACATTGAATGTGGTCGAATATAATTGAGCCCCAGTGGCGAGAGTGGCTGGTCAGGGTGTCTGCGATGACTCAGGGGCACGGTGGCACGCGTCAACATTGCGCTGAGAAAGTGCTGTCATCACCTGGTCCCACAGAGACCGGTGGAGTTGTGGGTGCTTTCTTTAGTGTTTGGGTCCCAGATAAAAGTCTCCTCTGCTTGTAAGTGGGAGAGGGCCTCACTTCCTGCCTTCGAGGGGGACCCAGTGGCCATGTCTCTTTAACTGGAGAAGTTAGTCCAGCGCCTCTGCCTGGGCTTCTGGCCCCTCCTGGCAGCCTGTCCTTACCAGCGCACGACATCCCAGCCCTGGCCACCATCCAGGGTGCACACAGGCCCTGAGCAGGAGCCAGGCCAGGAAAAACAACCCAGCATCCAAGAAGGTCCATTTCCCACTGTCCGGGGCCGGGTAGGGAAGGCGGAGCAGAGGAAGGAAGGGAAGACGGGAACCACAGCCTTGGCTCCTCGGGTTGATCATGGTGATCCTGCAGCCTCCCCCACTCCTCTTCTAGAACTTTCTAAAAGCTCCGCAAAGCAGGCGTTAGCATGAGCTCCTTTCTACTAAGGCTCCAAGATGTGTGTGTGTGTGTGTGTGTGTGTGTGTGTGTACAAGCTCAAAAAAATAGAAGGCGCCCAGGTCTTGCCTTGTTGGACCTGGTCCAGGAAGCAACTTGTCCTCGACTTCTTTCACTTCTGTCCTTGTAGCTGATTTCTGAGGCCCCTCGACAGGCTCTGAAAGACCCAGCAGCATCAGGGGTGAGCCAGTCGGGGGGGCAGTGCCTCGGGCCTACCCCACCCGTGCTGTGGAGGCTCCAGGATGAGGAGAAAGATTCCCACAGGCCCACAGCAGTTCATGGCCGAGCTGGGCCAAGAACGGGGCTGCCTGGTGTGTTTTCCGCGATCATGCATTGAGGTCAACGCCATGGGATCCACATGGCGAGGGAGCCTGGCGCAGGGAGGTTGGGAGGGCCCTGGCTCTGCCCCAGCGCTCTCTCTCCATTGAACTGGTGGGAGGTGGGATGAGCTCATGGACAGCTGGGCGGCGGAGCCCAGCGCTGAGTTCCGTCCAGATGTGAGAGGCTAGTGCTGTGGATGGGGAGAACAGCTCAGTCCGGCCTTTTCCCTGCTCGGGTTTGGAGCCAAGTTAGCTCTCGCCACAGACATGAAGAGCAGTGTGCTTTGGGCCACGGGAGGGGCATGTTGTGTGGCCCCTGACTTACAGAGCTGGTGCAGCCCACTGACCACAGGGTCGCAGGGTGTCCTCTTGGCCTACACTGCGGGGAGGGAGGGGGACGAGAGGACCAGGGTAGGGTCTTGGAAAGGGCAAGCAGGGCTTAGGGGGGAAATTTGGCCAAAAGCCCCTGGGCAGACCTGCACAGGGAGGCTGTGGACACAGACAGCCCTCCTGTGGGTAAGAACAGCTCTCCCTGCCCCTCGGAAATCCTTCCTCTCCAGGGTCAGCACCCAGTTCTTTCGGCTGGGGTAAATGAGTCAGACTTCGGAGTCCCTTCATTCTGGCCACCTCTAGACTTTCGTAGGACATGTGGCTCAGAATGGGGCACAGCCCTTTGGGTAGGATCTCTCAAACCTGAACATTTCACATCAGTGCACACAGCCCACAGTGGCTTCTGTGTTTTGCAGCCCATCAGACAACTGGCTTTTCTTATGGAAAATGTCAAACTACACGCGCGCGCACACACATGCACACACATATATACACACACACACATAGTACAGTCAACTCCCATGTCCCCATCACCCATTCAAGTTACTAATCTTGGCCAATCTTGTTTGTTCTACACTCCGCCCATGCCTCCTCCCACTCCCAGGCCTGGATTATTTTGAAATAAATCCAAGACATCATAGCATTTATCTGTAAATATTTTGGTGTAAATCTCTAAAAGACTCCCTTTTAAAAAAGTAACCAAACTGCCATTATAACATCTCCCCCCCCTCCCCAAAGCCAACAAATAGACCATTGTCTTTTGAAGAGAAGGGAAATAAAGAAACGGAGAATGTAAAACACAAACTGTTCTCCCGGAGAAACGCTCAGGGGAAGGAAGCCGTGTCCCTGATGTGCTCCTCACACCGAGTGAAGAGAGGGAACCAGAGAGTCTGAGAGCCAGGGGCTCCAGCGGACTCCGGAAGGCAAGCTTGTTGAGGTGTCAGGAGAAGGCCAGGTGCCTGGGGTCCTGTCATTTGCTGACTGCGACCTTGAGTAAGTCATTCAACCTCTGAGTAACACATTCATCGCCAGCAAAATGGCTTAACACCTCCATTCCTACCTCAAGACCTTTCAACCTTCTGGGCAATTAAATGTCCCGTTGGACAACCTGACCCACACTGACGCCCTACAGTCCCAGGAGTTCTGCACCCACAGAGATCAGAGCAGTGACCCTTACCCCCTCTGCTTCAGGGCCCACATCTGTGGCCACAGCCCTGACACTGTCACTGTGAAGCTGCTCCACCTTGACAACTGAGAACTGCAGTACCCTTACCTTCCGTCCCTGTTTCTCTCATCATTGCACCAAGACCACAAGTCCTTTCAGCCCCTTCATTTCTCCCAATTGCTCTTCTTATTGGCCTCTTTTCCTTCTTACCCCAGCAAGACTCCAGAGCCCATTCCCTCAGCCCCTTGCCGGTCAACCCTCAATTCCTTTGCTCTCGCCCCACCACACTCATCCTGCAGACTCCCAGGAGTCAGCTCCTCAGCCACATCTGCTGCCGAGCCGCCAGGGGAGGGCTGGTGCTCCCAAGGTTGCTCACCGATGCCCTCACTCTGCACCCCTGCACAGCCTCCTGTATCCCCATCCCCTTCGGGGCCCCTCTTTATTCAAGCCCCTGCCCAGGGCTGTGCTGTAAATGCTCTCACCATGGCTTCTGTTCTAGTGGCTGTGTTTAACAACCCACTCACAGAAGTCCTGAAAATTCGACAGCTGTCCTTTCCTCTTTCCTACATGGACTTTCAGCAAATGATTCTCCTCTTACTTTACAGAATGAATAGGGGCCATCAGGTGGGGACTCGGTCAACTGTTGGCCTCTAAGTAGAACTTTTATACCCATTTTTGCTACGTGCTCTCTCTCTTCCCTCCTTGAATTGTCCCTGCCCGCCTCTCCCTGCAGGTGGCATCCCTTAGCTCTTCTTTGCTCCTCTCCTTCCCAGGCTATGAGCATGGCTGTGTTTCTTCAGTGCCTTAAAAGACCAGAAGCGACACCAATAAGCTTTCTCTAGACCCTGTGATCTCCTCTCCCTTCCTTCACAGCCGAGCTTCCTGAAGACACTTTCCAGGATCCAGGTTTCTGCCTTCTGACCTCTCCTTCGCTTCTCATCCCACTGCAGCTGAACCTGGTTTGCTCCCACCGCTCCACTGAAAGGAAGAGCTGGAGGGGGCTTAGCAGTGACTTTCCTGTTGCTCTGGTTCCCATCCTCATCTCGCGAGACCCCTGGGCTGCTTTAGGTCATGCTGGGTGCCTTGTCCTCTGTAAAGCTCTCTGCCTCTCTCAGTTTCTGGGACAGTGTCCACCTTCCTGAGTGCCAGTGTTCTTCAAGGTTCAGCCAACTTTGAGGACCCACAGGCATTTGAGAGCCACCAGCTCTGAAACCTCAGCTTAGAACCGGGGGTCTAAGACTTCCAGTATGAGGGTTGGCAGTGCCAGGAAGAACCAAGGAGGTATCAACATTGGGCGGGGGCGGGGATGATGAATCAAGGGTTGGACAGGTTGCACCTCAAATCTTCCACTTACTAGCTGTGTGACATTGCACACATCACTTCACCCCTCTGTGTGGCAGTTTCCGTACATGCACATTAAGGATAATAATAGGCTGTTGTAAAACTTGATTGAGTTGATACATTTGTTTAGCACACTATCTGGTCCATAGTAAGCACTCAGCAAGTGTCAGCTATTGCTAAATGGTCACCAATGTCAGTGCTAAAATACCTCCACTCATTTTCTTCCTCTCTATTGCTACTGCCTCCTTCCTCACTTCTTACCCTGGTTACTGCAGTAACTCTGCCTTCAAAGACAAATCTCTCCAATCCGTTCTCTGAGTTTAACAATTCATAGATGACTATGTGACTCTTTGGTTAAACCCCAAATAAGCACTGAGGTTGGTTTACTAGGGCCTCTGGCATGGTGTCTGTGGTCCACCTCTCCCGTCATCTCCCACCCACCTGGACTTTCAGCCACTCCAAACTGCCCAGGGTTTGGAGTCATTCGGACTCAAGCTTCTCTGTCTTTGCACGTGCCATTCTCCTGGGAAACTTTCGTCCCTTCCTTAACTTACCCAGTCCAGGCAGCTCCTCCTCCAGAAGCCCACGTGGACATCGGTGAGCTCAGAGACCACGGAGACAGTGAGTGGTCAGAGCGGCCCACACTCCCCTGACCCCGCTGGGCCTGTCTTTGCTTCTCCTCGTGACTGGTTCAGGAACACCTACTTGACCCCCATGCTTTAAGGGTGTCGCCAGTGTTCCAGGGTGACCGAGGGCCCCGCAGGGACACCACTTGTTTTCCCACAGCTGCTGAACCCTTCATCCCCTCCCGAGGAGATCCAGCTCGGACCACAGGGTGTGACACACACATGGCTGTCCATGGCCGTTTAGACATCATAGAGGAGGTAATGGGGTGACCTGGGAGGACATGTATCTTTGGGGCCACCTGCCAGGCTGGTGGCTTTATAGGGCTCTGGCCAACCTTGCTTTGGAAAATTAGGGAAATCCAGGCCAATCCTGCTCCCTGGCCACCTGGGCTGTCAGGCTAAACCTCTCCCTGAAAACTTGTTTACATCAAAAATTTAATTTTTAACATTTGAATAATATTTTAATGAAGCTGGTGTTCCTAGAAATCCTATTTTTCCAATTAAGTTATTCTTCTAAGAAGGGGTCTGTAGGTTTTGCCAGACTTTTAATAAGGTTCATTGATGAAAAAAGTTAACAAAGAAAATTTCAAAATCCCAAACCTGTTATTTGGCAGGGTTGCCACCAGGGGGCAAAGCAACAAAAGGAATGTGAGCTCCCAGTGAGTTCTGGAGCGGGAAGAGGAACCCTAGTCACTTCAAACCTGTGACAGAAAAACCAGTGCCAGAGCCAGGAGCAGTCATAGAGAGGGAGCCCCTCAGATTTTGTCATCTGGGGAACGGGGAGGTGAAAGGGACTGAACAAGAAGGACCCAGGTCCCCGGGCACCCAGTACTCTCCCCACCGGACCACTGACTAAGCAGGACCTGGCGCTGCTCTTGTCCCCTGCTCCTCACCCCACCCCACCGTCCCATCTCTCCCTGCTCTAGAAGGTGGAGAAGACCGTGGGGCACCTGGAGGCAGAAGTGAAAGGCCTGCTGAGCCAGCTGGAGGAGCTGGCCTGGAACCTGCCCCAGGGGCCCTTCAGCCGAACCCCCGACCTCCTGGGAGATGGTGAGTGGTCAGGTGGCAGAGAGGACAACTGGGGCTGGGCATGCAGGAAGGGTGTGGGTGCACTGGTGTGGCCTGGACAAGCCAGGGCTCCAGCTCCTCCTTGAGACAGAAGTGGGAAGGCATTTCCCCCAGCTCGCCCCATGTTCTCTGCCCCATCCCCACCCCATCCCACCCGACTGCTGCAGCCTGGGCACTTGAGTTCCATCTCGGCACCACCACCCTGACAGAGCACTGCCTCCGTCACGGCCACGTCCGTCCCTCCAAGCTCCTCGGTTCCTTTCATCTCCCTTCCAAGGACCACCCGTGTTCCCACTAACCCTTTCAGGAAAGACTGGCAGCCCTCTGACCGGGCAGTGGAGGGAGTGCCACCTGCTCCCTCCTTGAGCCCTGTGTTCCCTGGCACCGGAGTTCCGGGGGAGCTGGAGGGCGGGGAGGGTGCCTTCAGCACTCCCTCACATGAGCCGCCCCTTTCTTTCAGATCGTTTCTGAGCACCTGTCTGTCTGAGCACCTGTCTGTCTGAGCACCTGTCTGAGCACCTGTCTGAGCACCTGTCTGAGCACCTGTCTGTCTGAGCACCTGTCTGTCTGAGCACCTGTCTGAGCACCTGTCTGAGCACCGGAGCGGAGGTGCCCAGCAGCTGGAAGCGGTGCCCTGTGGACAGCGCTCCTCTCAGAGGGCCTGGTCGGCGCCCTTCAGCTTGTGCACAATGAGAGCTACTCCTTCGATCCTCTGTCCGCTGACAGTGACCCCTGCAGCCGAGGCTTGCTCTCCACCTACTGCCATGCCCTGAGGCCCACCTCCCCTGAAGGCTCAGACCTGGGAGCCCCCGGCCCACTGTGCTTCAGCCCCCATTCTCTAAGGGGCAGACAGGGCAGGGTGGTTCAGAGATGAGGCCCCTGAAGCCCAGAATGGTAGATGAGCGGTGGAAGGGCCCTTTGGGGAACCTCACTACTCAAGCATGGCCTCTGTGAGCAGAGGTCTCACCTAGGAGTCGTCAGAAATGCAGAATTTGCGGCCCCACCCAAACTCCTGAATCACATTTACATTTTAATGAGACCACCCCAGGGGATTTGTGTGCCCATTAAAGTTTTAAAAATGTTTTCTATTGAGGTAAAATTCACATAACACACAATTCAAAGTTTTAACCCTTTAAACTGTACAGACTCAGTGGCTTCATGAAGTGCAGTCAGCCCGAAAGGAAGCCCCTTACCCATTAAGCATCACTTCCCACTTCCCTCCCGCTGGCGTCTGTCCTGGGGACTCGCGTGCTCTGCACAGCACATATAAACGCAGTCATACAGTCTGGGGTCCTCCGCGTGTTTTTTTCTCTTGGCATGTTTTCAAGGTTCACTGCTGTTGCAGCATGTATCAGTACTTTATTCCCTTTTGTGTAAACACACTTTCATCTCTCGGATCCATAACGGGATGGGATTGCTGATTCAAATAGTAACTTTAAGTTTTTAAGGAATCCCCAAACGTTTTTGCACAGCAGCTGTACCATTGTACACTCTCACCAGCAATGTTTATATAAGGGTTTCAACGTTTCCCACCCTCACCAACATGTCTTTTTGACTGTAGTCATCACAGTAGGTGTGCAGTGGCTATCACTGTAGTTTTGGGTTGCATTTACCTAATTCCCAGTGACGCTGGGCATCTTTTCATGTATTTGTTGGTTATTTCTATTTTTTTTTAAATGGCTATTCAAGTATTTGCCCATTTTATTATTTCTTTCTTTCTTTCTTTTTCTTATTTTTTAAATCCTCACCTGAGGATATTTTCCATTGATTTTCAGATAGAGTGGGAGGGAGATAGAGAGAAACTTCGATGTGACAGAGACACATGGACTGGTTGCCTCCCACATGACCCCAGCCAGGGCCAGGGATCAAACCCGCAACCAAGATACATGCCCGTAACTGGAATCAAACTCTTGACTCCTTGGTTGTGAGCCAACATTCCAACCGCTGAGCCAAAGCAGCCTGGACAAGTATTTGCCCATTTTAAAAGTCGGGGTGTCTTTCATTGTTGTTAGGGTTTCTATGTGCTGTGGATACTAGGCTTCTATCAGACATGCAATTTGCAAACATTTTCTCCTATTCTGCAGATGGTCTTTTTACTTTTCTGATAGTGTCCTTTCAGATACAAATGTTTTCATTTTGAACAAGTCCAACTTGGTGGTTGTTACTTGTGCTTTTGGCATCATATCGAAGAATCCATTGCCAAATCTAAGGTCATGGGTAGTTATTGTTTTCTTCTAAGATTTTTATAGCTTTAGCTCCTTTAAAAAAATTGTTTTTCTTTATTGATTTGAGAGAAGGGAAGAAAGAGGGAGAGAGAGAGATAGAAACATCGATGAGAGAGAACATTGGCCACCTCCTGCATGCCCCACACTGGGCATTTGGCCCACAATCTGGGCATGTGCCCTGGCCAGGAATAGAACTGGCAACCTCTTGGTGCATGGGTCGACGCTCAGCCACTAAGTCACACCAACCTGGCTAGCTTTAGCACTTACATTTAGTTCTTTGATCTATTTTGAATTAATTTCTTAATATGATGTGAGATAGGGATTCAACTTCATTCCTTTGCTTGGGGATATCCAGTTATCTCAGCACTACTTTTTGGAGAGAATATGCTTTCCCCACTGAACGGTCCTGGGACACTTGTCAAAATCAATTGAGCAGAGATGTGTAGGTTGATTTTTCAGTTCTATCTCATGGGTCTATATGCCTATCCTTATGCCAGTACCACACTATATGAATTACTATAGATGTTTGAAACTAAGAAGTAATTTTAAGTGACTGTTGTTCTTTTCCAAGACTGTTTTTTTTTTTTTTACTGTTTGGGGACCACTTCCTTGCAATTCCATATGAAGTTTAGGATCAGCTTGTCCATACCTGCAAGAACGCAGCTGGAATTTTGATAGGGGTTGGATTGAATCCGTAGATCAATTTGCAGAGTATTGCCATGTCAACAATACAGTCTTCCAATCAATGAACACAGGATGTTTTATATTTTTGTATTTTTCAGTGTACAAGTCTTACACCACATTGGTTAAATGTATTCTTTAAGTATTTTATTCTTTTTGATATTATTGTAAATGGAATTGTTTTAATGTCATTTTCAGGTTGTTGTTCATTGCTATTGTTTAGAAATACAACTGATTTTGTATGTTCATCAAGTATGTTATCCTGCAATTTTGTTGAATTCATTTATTAACTCTGATAGTTTTTGTGTGGATATTTTAGGATTATATAATATATATGAATATATAGTCATGTCATCTGTGAATAGTGTTTTACTTCCCATCATTAAGTATGTCAGCTGTGGTTTTTCATAGATGCCCTTTATTTCAGGTTGATAATTTTCCTTTCTATTCTTAGTTTCTTGGGTTTTTGTCATCAAATGTGGCGGTTTCTCAAATGCTTCTTCTGCATGGAGATGATCATGTGGTTCTTACCTCCTACTAACAATGTGTATTACATTGATTGATTTTTACATATTGAATGATTTTGGTATTCCTTTGATATATCCCATTTAGTCATGGTAGATAATTATTTTAACATGCTGCTAGATTCAGTTGACTAGAATTTCATTGAGGATTTTTGCACTTTTTTTATGATGTCTTTAGCTTTGGTGTCAGGATAACACTGGTCTCAGACTAAATTAAGAAATGTTACTTCTATATTTTGGGAATAGTTTGAGAAAGATTTGTGTTACTTCTTTAAACATTTGATAGAATGCATCAGTGAAGTCTCCCAGTCTTGAGTTTTTTATTATTGGGATTGTTTTTTATTACTGATTTAATCTAATTATAGGTCTATTCAGATTTTCTATTTCTTCTTGAGTCAGATTTGAGAATTTGTGTGTTCCTAGGAATTCTCCCATTTTCTCCAGGTTATCTAATACGTTGACATACAATTGTTAACAGTATTTCCTTGTAATCCTTTATTTGTATAAGGTTGTTAGTAACATCCCCACTTTTATTTCTGATTTTAGTAATTGAATCATCTCTCAATTTGGTTGATCTTTTCAAATAGCCTTTTTTTGTTGTCGTTTCATAGATTCTACTGTTTTGTTTTGTTTTTTCTTTTAATTCTTTATTTTGTTTATCTGCACTCTCGTCTTTATTTTCTTCCTTTTGGTTGCTTTGGGTTTAGTTTGCTCTTCTTTCTCTAATTCCTTAAAATAGAAGATTAGGTTATTGGCTTGAGCTCTCTCTTTTTTATGTTTTCATTGATTTTTTTTTTTTTAGAGCGAGAGGGAGGAGAGAGAGATAGAAACATCAATGAGAGAGAAACATTGATCAGCTGCCTTCTGCCCACTCCCTACCGGGGATCGAGCCTGCAACCTGGGCATGTGCCCTGACCGGGAATCAAACCAGTGACCTCTTGGTGCAGGGGTCGATGCTCAACCATTGAACCACACCGGCTGGGATCTTTTCTTTTTCTTAATGTAGGCATTTACAGCTATCTTTTCCCTCTGAGCACTGCTATCACTGCATCACACATTTTGGTATATTGTGTTTTCATTTTCAATAATCTCAAAGTATTTCCTAAAATTTCTCTTGTAACTTCTTCTTTAACTCATTGAGTTATTTTAAGAATATGTTATTTGCCCTGGCCAGCATGGCTCAATGATTAAGAGCATCAGCCCATACACCAAAGGGTCATTGGTTTGATTTCTGGTCAAGGGCACCTGGGTTGCTGGTTCCATCCCCGGAATTGGTGGGGGTGCATGAGGGAGACAACCGATTGATGTGTCTCTCTCACATTGATGTCTCTCTCGCTCTCTCTCCCCTCCACTTTAAAAAAAAAAAGTATGTTATTTAGTTTCCATATTTTTGTAAAATTTCCAGATTTCCTCCTATTACTTATTTCCAATTTCATTCCACTGGGTCATAGAAGATATTCTGTATGGATTCAATCTCTAGAATTTATTTAGTTTTGTGGTCTATCTGGATAAATTTCCATGTGCATTTGAGAAGAATATATATCTGTTGTTGGGTGGACAATGTGTTCTATATGTCTGCTAGGTATAGGTGATTTAGTGTTCAAGTTTTCTGTTTTATTTTGTCTAATTGTTCTATCCAATAGAGAAAGTGGAATGTTGAAGTCTCTAAGTATAATTATTGAACTATTACTCCCTTCAATTCTGTCAGTTTTTGTTTCAAACTTTCTGGGGGCTCTATTGTTAAGTGCATATATGTTTATAACTGTTATATTTTGATAGATTAACCCTTTTATCAGGATATACTTTGATATCCTTTGTCTGCTAATTTTTGCCTTTTAATTGGAGAATTTATTCCAATTATATTTACCATGTAATCTTGGATGTGTAGATGGTCTTTTATCAAATTGGTTTACAGCCATTGTTTCTTCAAATATGTCTTTCTCTCTTCTCTTTTGACTCCCATTATGCATATGTTGGTACATTTGATGGTGCTCCTCATACTGGGAAATCTCAAATGTCTATCATGAAGTTGCCAATTCTTTTCCTACCTTCTCTAATCTCTTGAATCCCCTCTAGGAAAGTTT